TGATTGATTGAGTGTATATTAATATGCCCAGTGTTTGAAGTATTTATTTGAGTCCAATACTTTAGAAACTTTTTGGCATTCTTAACATTTACTTGGTCAAAGTTATATCCTTAATTGTCTGTGTACACTGATATATATATATATATATATATATATATATATATATATATATATATATATATATATATATATGACAGTATATAGTACTAAAGAAGTGGCGTACACTAAGTCACGAAACGTCAAGAAATCTGATTTTTCTACTCATTGCGGCATTACAAATATATTGCTTATTTATAACAATCTACTCAATGCTCAATTTATTCGAAATTATCAAATCAAACCTTGGTGATGATACCTATACTCTTGTACTTGTAAACAAAGATGGCATTCATTGATCAGTTAAAACTTTCAGTTTATTCAAATTAGTTAGTGAAATCATTATTTGGAATGACAATGATAGTTTGGAAAATAAACAATAATTCTCAAAGAATTCTACATTTTCAAAAGCAATCAATTAAATTACAAAATCCTCTCCCATACATACATAAACCAAGATCACAGAAATAAATTTAACATAATAATTACTCACATCTATACACTTAAAATTCTACCCATTGGTTTAATCTCTCTATTATTATTGTTCAGAAAAGCTCTGGTTATTGTTAGAATACAAGGTCTTAGGGTTATCTCAATCACTCACTAACTAAATAAATAGAATGATAGCAACTTGAAAATTAATTACTTTGCACGCATCAACATAACAAACTGACTGTCGTCGAAGGTTCACATCCGATTTGTTACCTTTTCAGTTCTTTACAGTTCCATACCTTATCGACTTTAAAAGAAATGTTCTTTCTATTGATTTTATAGTATAAACATCTTTCAACAGATTATTATTGAATTTTTGAGAGTTTTTCTAAAGGATCTACTTAATATTCTAAAATAGTATTGTAGTATGGATTACTTATATATCCATGTAAGTAGTATATAACTGTGGTCAGGCATAGAATGTAGTTCAGTAGGAGATCAATAAAGAAAGGACGAAAACAGAACGCAATTAGTATGAAAATGGATGAACAATGAAATTCGAGACAATGAACTGATATATGTAAAAGGAACAATGAAGTTTGAGACGATGGATTGATATTTTGCAAATTAACTATTTACTATATGGTTCTCAGATTTTAGTGAGATACCCTGTCATTTCACGTCTAATACATTCGATTGTCCCTATTCGTGTTCTTGTTCACTACGGTATATCGTAAAAGAGAAGTAAATCTTATTTCTCTAGACTAAGTTGCACAAGCAAACGGCTATCAGGACTCAGCAGCTAAGTGGATAACGCGATGGCGTTTAAAGCGAATAGTACTGGGTTCGAGTCCCAGAGTGAACATCGATTCTGAGATGCAGGTACATCCAGTTGAGTCCCAAATAGGACTAAACGTGCGTCTTGGATTCCACTGCTAGCCACTATCCATCATTACTTACAAAAAGCTTATGAACTACGGCAATATCGAGGCATACGCACAGTATGCACATATGCCAATAGCAGACTGGTCAATGGGAAGACACAAGCCAAACAATACCAAGTGAATTTAATATAAGTTAAACTGAATAAAGAACTAATTTCCATGGTAATCAAATTTCTTGATTTAAATAGATATAATAACGAATTAATAAATATTCACCTTTTGTTAGCGATTCATTTTCAATTATGTAAATAATTCCATATATATAAACAATAACAAAAAGAAAATAAATCAGAAATTGACGGTTTTAGTATCGATCAGTTTATCTTACTCAGAAGAAAAAACGAAGATAAACACGTTTGATTAAATTAATAGATGAAATGAAATTCAATAAATAATAGTTTTTGTTATTACTGGTATTTGAACAATGTACAGAAGGGAATTAAGACCAAGGAAGGATGAGAGTGTGAAATGTATCACTTATGCACATAGAATTCGGGTTTGAATTAGTGAATCGTCAATGTCTTAGAAGTATATAAATCTTTGATTCTACTTCAACCTCTCATCCTTCCTTGGCCCTTCATTCTCTTTAGGGTACTGTTTAAATACAAGAACCATCAGTTTCAATTCGATACATTTACATTCGTCTTGATGAAATAATGGTTTTTGTTGAAAATTACAAATGCAAGTGTTTCGATTGTTAATGAATTACGAAAGTATCAATTAATGGAATATCAAACTCCACATCATCTGAATTGTTCATACCCATTGATCACTGAGTAATAACCGTAGTTAAGTTTATCTAATCAATCTTATTACAGAACAAATTCTATTGACCAAGCTCTTGTCTAACTACAAAGCTGATTACACTTTACAAAAGATAATGTTTTGGAACTCTATCGAATTGTATAGTTTCACTAAGTTCTTACGCTTGTTCAACATATTTTAAAACAGGAGTTAAATAGATTTGTTAATATTTACATAATAACTTCTTATTTATCATGTAAGTTGTTTTGAACTACTTGTAAGTAGTATATATTTCATACCATAATTAAAATTAAAACATGGCAGATTAAAATCATGTTTATGTAAATATCTCTTTTAAATAAAAATATGAATGATCTTAATGCAGACTGATTGCAATTTATTAACCAATTTTGCTTTTGTCTAACTTTCAGCACTGAGGTTCAAATAAATTGAGATTGATCATTACACAGTTGTTGACCAGTTCTAACCTCAATCTCACCTAAAATAACTCAATGGTAACAGTTCACTTGATCTGTATCAATCATCTATTATGGTCGTACATTACACGCACGTATTATGATTCTCAGTATATTTCAATGACAATATATATCTATAAATCCGCCGAAAAACACTGTTGTATTTAAAAAAACTGATTTATTGAATTAAAACATAGTTTATGGATATCAGTGATCCTGTTGTTTACATGAAATCGATTCGTGTTAGCCACAAAACATGGTTATTCTAGGTTTTATCTACAATAATGAAAGTACCAGAAGGGGTTTTGTGAAGATTTTAGAAATTTCACTTGTTGGTTAAGCGCCTGGCGCGAGACTGATAGGTTCTTGGTTCGAATCCCGCGGGGTGCGGGATCGTAGATGTGCACTGCTGAGGAGTCCCATACTGGGACGAAATGGCCGTCCAGTGCTTCCAGGTTTTCCATGGTGGTCTAGCTTCAATTGACTCATGATTTCAACCAGTGAAATAATGAAAGTATCTATTAAGGTGCAACTCTCTATTTTTCACTGGCTATTTCGCTTATTGTAGCTAATGAAAAAACTATTTACCAACTGCACAAAATCTCTGTTCAACCGTTCTAATAATTTAATCTGATAACTTTTTATCATGATTGCTATCAGTAAATATGTTTTTTTATTATTCTTAAAGATTATATGAGTTTACTTGTATTCACAAATAAACTTGTTCAGTTTCTGTTCCTATATAATCTCACATTTAGCAGATACCTACATATCGAATCCAGTCATATGGTTTACATATATTTTGATAATGGTTAACGGTAGAATAGATGTTAAAAGATTTGTCTTCATATTGGAGTTAGCCAGTCAAATTTACTGACATCCAGATGATATTTCTGAGATTAGATGGTCGTTGGAGGTAGTCGACAGGAAACCCTGGACCCGGGTTTCGTGCTACTTGGCACTCGTCAGCAAGGTGTACCTGTAACCTTGAGGGAACTGGTGCTCCCTGACGGATTCGATTCCGTGTCAACCAGCTTCACAGTGAGAGACGTTATCACTGAGCTATCCGGTCAATCTAGTCTCAGTATGTAGTGCATGCAGTGTCGAGCCACCTAGACCGGTAGCCACATTGTTACATGGTCGATAGCATTCGATCTGCGCTAAATAAGGACTTGACACACATGACATTGATCACCACCCAGTGATCAATCAATTGTGAGATGATATTTCTATTATGACTCCAATACAATATATCATTTTTAAATACTAGTGTGTAAGCTGTTAGGTTACGTAATCATGATAACCAATACTATATTCAATGTGTGTAATATTCATTATTATTTGATAGAATCTAAGATTTTGAGACAAAATGTGATTATTTCATTCAATTTCTTCTTATTAAGTATATATATATATATTGTTCTGACTTTATGTCCAACTTTTTATCACGTGATTTATCCATTAATCAAAATACGACTTGTACAATCTTAGCACTGTGCCAAACCAATGACGTTCGACAGGTAAGAGCAGCCTAGCGTCCTTATTGGTCCTATGTCCGCCTAGCCCATCCACTTGAGTCCAGAACACCAATACCAGCTTCCAATATGCGAATCAAATCGAATCGAATCATTTATTTCAGATATACTGGGTTTATATATCAATCAAACAGACCGCAACGCACCATAAAATAGGAAATAACATTTGTACACAATAAAGCCAAATAGTGACTGTGAACGTGGGAGGCAGTAGTCAATGAACTGAACATAGCTTAAGAACAGTAAATCGTACAATAATAAATTATAGGTCAAGGTAAAGCTTATAATAAGAGGAATATAAATATACATAATTTAATTATTGAATAATTATACCATAAGATTGTAAAGATAATATTATGTCTCAGAAATTACTCGTGATTGAATCTTCGCTCGGATATAACATATATAATGGGGGTTATTTCTTCTTTCACATAGAAAAATAAAATGACATTGATATATTCAATAAGTGACAAGTTCATTTATTAATTATTCATAAATACAATGGAAGATAAGTATTCACAAATAATCAAATTGGAATTTATATAAAGAACTGTGTCTCTCTATTAAGAACAGCCTATAAACAGGGACATTCCTGTTTCCATAGAAGATTACTATACTTCAACATTTGGTTATCTTATAAATCTTTAGACTACATGAAAGCTATTGAATAGATTAATTATAAGTAAGGAGTATTGTAACACACTAAGTGTTTTCCCATATATTTATGTATGTTAATTATTTAAAACAAAATCAAGATAAATCATTTAATCCTATCAGTATAAAGTTGTGATGAATGATGATGATGATGATGATGATGATGATGATGATGATGATGATGATGATGATGATGATGATGATGATGATGATGATGATGATGATGATGATGATGATGATGATGATGATGATGATGATGATGATGATGATGATGATGATGATGATGATGATGATGATGATGATGATGATGATGATGATGATGATGATGATGATGATGATGATGATGATGATGATGATGATGATGATGATGATGATGATGATGATGATGATGATGATGATGATGATGATGATGATGATGATGATGATGATGATGATGATGATGATGATGATGATGATGATGATGATGATGATGATGATGATGATGATGATGATGATGATGATGATGATGATGATGATGATGATGATGATGATGATGATGATGATGATGATGATGATGATGATGATGATGATGATGATGATGATGATGATGATGATGATGATGATGATGATGATGATGATGATGATGATGATGATGATGATGATGATGATGATGATGATGATGATGATGATGATGATGATGATGATGATGATGATGATGATGATGATGATGATGATGATGATGATGATGATGATGATGATGATGATGATGATGATGATGATGATGATGATGATGATGATGATGATGATGATGATGATGATGATGATGATGATGATGATGATGATGATGATGATGATGATGATGATGATGATGATGATGATGATGATGATGATGATGATGATGATGATGATGATGATGATGATGATGATGATGATGATGATGATGATGATGATGATGATGATGATGATGATGATGATGATGATGATGATGATGATGATGATGATGATGATGATGATGATGATGATGATGATGATGATGATGATGATGATGATGATGATGATGATGATGATGATGATGATGATGATGATGATGATGATGATGATGATGATGATGATGATGATGATGATGATGATGATGATGATGATGATGATGATGATGATGATGATGATGATGATGATGATGATGATGATGATGATGATGATGATGATGATGATGATGATGATGATGATGATGATGATGATGATGATGATGATGATGATGATGATGATGATGATGATGATGATGATGATGATGATGATGATGATGATGATGATGATGATGATGATGATGATGATGATGATGATGATGATGATGATGATGATGATGATGATGATGATGATGATGATGATGATGATGATGATGATGATGATGATGATGATGATGATGATGATGATGATGATGATGATGATGATGATGATGATGATGATGATGATGATGATGATGATGATGATGATGATGATGATGATGATGATGATGATGATGATGATGATGATGATGATGATGATGATGATGATGATGATGATGATGATGATGATGATGATGATGATGATGATGATGATGATGATGATGATGATGATGATGATGATGATGATGATGATGATGATGATGATGATGATGATGATGATGATGATGATGATGATGATGATGATGATGATGATGATGATGATGATGATGATGATGATGATGATGATGATGATGATGATGATGATGATGATGATGATGATGATGATGATGATGATGATGATGATGATGATGATGATGATGATGATGATGATGATGATGATGATGATGATGATGATGATGATGATGATGATGATGATGATGATGATGATGATGATGATGATGATGATGATGATGATGATGATGATGATGATGATGATGATGATGATGATGATGATGATGATGATGATGATGATGATGATGATGATGATGATGATGATGATGATGATGATGATGATGATGATGATGATGATGATGATGATGATGATGATGATGATGATGATGATGATGATGATGATGATGATGATGATGATGATGATGATGATGATGATGATGATGATGATGATGATGATGATGATGATGATGATGATGATGATGATGATGATGATGATGATGATGATGATGATGATGATGATGATGATGATGATGATGATGATGATGATGATGATGATGATGATGATGATGATGATGATGATGATGATGATGATGATGATGATGATGATGATGATGATGATGATGATGATGATGATGATGATGATGATGATGATGATGATGATGATGATGATGATGATGATGATGATGATGATGATGATGATGATGATGATGATGATGATGATGATGATGATGATGATGATGATGATGATGATGAGATGACGAGATCAAAAAACAATATCACTTAAACAATCATTAAATACTTGGATACACTGGATGGCCATTTCATCCTAATTAGGAGATTTTTTATAAAAATTTACAATCAAAAATCTCATGTTTGTCTCCAACTGAGGAACTGTGTTTGCATATTATTGAAGAGTAACATAGTACGGTGAAACCATCATCCAATACTTCCTGGTTTTCAATAATTTTCTAACTTAAATTAATTCATAATTTTAATAGTTCATTTTGCATATTCTACAACCATGTGATTTAATCATTAGTTTTTCTGTCTAGGTGTGGACCATATTTGATACATTAAAAATTAAATTTTTTTTTTCAGATACACATGTGACATAATCATGAAATCATGACGTCAGTATTTTGATAATCACCATATCTGATTGTATTCTCTGTGACGAAAAAAATATCAACTCGTGAATTAAAGATTGGGGATTAATAAACTGTAAAAATAAACTTTTTATTAACCAGTAGTTTAACATCCAATTATTGTTTATTTCTAAGTGAGGAAAATACTCGAAAAAAATATATATATGAGGAAATAAAAATCAATAAGATGAATAAATTACCTAACCACGCCTGGTATATGGCACACCCGTTATATATGTATATATCATTATTACCATGACAACAATGATAAAGACGAGTATATGGGGTGGGAGTGATGGATCATAGTGGAATGCTGTATTTATATATATAATATAGCTTACAGAGTTTTTGTAACTTTAATCTAAATAGATTTTTCAATGTGACTATAAGAGTTGACTTCTGTGGATCGTTAAACTAGGGAATCTATTTTTAAATAAATCTTAAAAGCTTATTACTTTTATATGTATAAAAATTAAATCAGAATTTTGACAAGTATTCATGGCTGAAACTGGGGAAAAAACGGATATAGCTTTTAGAAATCTGGAATCACGATCCAAATCATCTGTCATGAAAAGAATGATTTTTGTAAGTTATATATATGTATATACTATTTATTTGCTATTAATTAATTCCAAAGGTTATTGTATTTTTCTACGATTGTTATGTCTTCTGGTTTAAATGTTGATCAGTCACTGTTACTATATGGAAATCTTGAGTGTAAAACTCAAGATTATTTGTAGGTATACTTTATGTACATATATATTGGATTGTGGCTAGAGAAGGAATCTAGAATTTCACTTTCGCCCTCATTGAAGACTTGTCATATGGATGTACTTGTATCTTAATGTTAGCATTTATACTGAAACACAAACTGCACTGGGTTATCGAATGAGTCACTTATTTATGATAGTTTATTATTAATCATTATGACTTAAATTTCCCGTTGTTTAAGTTCAAAAGTAAAATAGATCAGTTTGATATCTTAAATTGGGTAGAAATTACAAATTTATTTTATTCTTGGGTAGTTTTAATAATAACATTGGATCCTAAATGGATCCAACCTACAGATCTCGAATAGAATGAAACCTATCATTATGATTCTTTATGGTTTTTTGAACAGGGAAAACTCACCTAATATGAATTTCTGGTTCAGTGACTATATATAAATTTGTGTAATAGTTCCTTAATTACACTTATTGAGTTGTAAAAACTGATAAAATTTTACTGCGAAGATTTATACGAATTTGGATTGTTGAGTTGTTAATATTAGTAATAGAAATTGTGATATGGTCAAACATTGCGATATTAATATTTACGTTAAATATCGAACACAGAACCTACCTGCAGCTTAAAATGTCAAAGAGGTTTAGGTTGAGATCGTAAGTTACAGTAGCCATCATATTATTCAAAGAGTAAGATAGTTGTTATTACTATCTGTTTGTTATTAAATTATGAAGTGTTCTAAATTACACGACCACTGAGAACCTGGAAGTATTGAACGGTCGTTTCGTCCTAGTTTAGGACTCCTCAGTAATGTACATCCACGATCCTGCACTGCTGAAAATTCCCATACTAGAACGAAACGACCTTCCAGTGCTTCTAGTTTCTTACGAGTGATTTAACTTAGATAACTTCATGATTTCAATAAAATTCAATAATACTTTCAATCGTAGACTGATAATTGTTTGTATTTTATGGTAATCGATATTCGTAATTAAATCTGATCAAACATTTTGACGAAATTTGAACGAATAGTATCACGATGGTTGGACGCCGAATGTTTAGGGTAAGAAGATTGTGCTTTTTAATGGTTTCATCAATTGAAATTAGAAATAAATTCGTTATTTAGTTTGACATCTCATGCTCGTGTAAACGACAACAATGTAGTTTCGTTCGCTTTATTTAATTATTGTGTTTATGAATTCTATGAACTTTCAGTGTGTTTAACATCACCAGCACAAACATAAATTTATCTATTTATTTGAATTCTATCCACTCTTTGAGAAATTCAGTTTGCGAACATCGATAACGTTAATTAGTTTTATCCTCCACTACAATCTATAGTTATATATACTCAATGGTTTTTCACATCGGATCTGCATATACATACGAACATTTCTTCTTTTACAGTAATTTCACAAGAAATGACTTATTTTGATAATTTTGAATTTATAACCTGAAATGGTTGAACAATCGTTTAGTGTAAAATAGTTCTGCAAACTCTATTTATATTCAAATTCACTTGGTATTGTTTGGCTTGTATATTCACATTCAGGTTTAAGACTGCGATTGATCAGTCTGTTATCGGCATACGCGCAGTATGCATATATGCCAATAGCAGACTGATCAATTGCAGTCTTAAACCTCAATGGGAAGATACAAGCCAAACAATACCAAGTGAATTTGAATTCACCCCATTGCACAAACAAATGGCTATCAGGACTCAGTAGCTAAGTGGATAACATGATGGCATTTGAAGCGAATGGTACTGAGTTCGAGTCTCAGAGTGAACATCAACTCTGAGATGCAGGTACATCCAGCTGACGAGTCCCAGACAGGATGAAACGCGCTTCCTGGATTCCACTGCTAGCCACTATCCATCATCGCTTACAAGGAGTCTATTTATATTCATTGACTTTACTGCTGGATTATTTCACTACAACATCTCGAATCAAACTGAAATACGAAATTTCGGAGTTACTTTCAATTTTCAAGAATAGAATTTTCTTTCTAACGTCTGGAAAGATATTTTAAATGAACGTTTATAAAAAAAAGAAAAAAATTATTTATCAGATTTTATTTTATCATTGTAAAACACCATTTACACCTGTTTTCACTTATTTACGCCAGTTACTCCTAGTGGAGAAGTGTAAACCGAACACCAGCATTCTCCATCCAATTCTATTTTGAACAATCCTTTCCAGTTCTTTTCAGTTGCTACTACTCCTTTTCATATCTGTTTCCAATTCTGGATACAGTGTGTTCTTTGTTCTTGCACTTTTACGTTTCCATTCAGGATTTCAAGTTAGCGCTTGCTTTGTGATACAATTTGATATTTTCTACAATATATGTCCTATCCACCTCAAACATCTTTTACTAATTTCTTCTTCAACTGGAAGCTGATATAATAAGATGTTGCCTTTCAATTCTTCGACTATATGCTAATGTTTCACAAGTTCTACTGACATTTATTTAAGAATTTGTAAAGCTGAATCACTCTGTTTAGTCATAATGATTTTTGGTTGAGATCATGAATTAATTGATGTTAGATCACCGCTGGAAACCTGGAAGCACTGGACGGCCGTTTCGTCCTAGTATGGGACTCCTCAGCAGTGCGCATCCACGATCCCGCACCCCGCGGGATTCGAACCCAGGACCTACTGGCTTCGCGCCTGAGCACTTAACCATTAGACGACTGAGCCGGCATCCAATGGTGTTAGTGTCTAACATCAACCAATCTTAGTGTATTTTACTATTTGTTTTCAATAATAGGAGATTTTGATCATTTATCAGCAAAATATTCAGAAGTCAAGAAAATGTTATAAAAGTACTTTGATTTATTGATCCTCTTTAGATCATTGTATAAGAATCAATATCCTTATTCTGATTATAAAGTTACCAAATTCATTTATAAGTCTCTAAGATCTTAAGATCACAAATAACCATATATGTATATATATACCCTTATTTTCTTTACACTAACATCAGAAGTACGGCTTTCGGTTTTACTTTCCGTTTTCAATAGTTTACTCAACGTTCAATGATGAAAGATTTTTATAGAAACTAGGAAGTAATGTAGATGTCGATGTTTAAGTGTTCAAGTAAAAGATAAATCCCCAGTTTTCATCTTTTCTTTTATCTCATTTCATTTAGATGAGAAGAAGCTTAATGTCTTTTTTTTGTTGCTTATGTACATTAAATCAGTGTATATCGGCTTTATTCAAATTCCATAATGTTATGTAAATTGATTCTACTATTAGTTTTCTGTATTTGTACTCAAATGCTAATGATAGCAACTGAACTATTCTCAATTCAATATCAGATATTACTCTACTTTGTATGTTTAACGAATGAAATACGTTTATTTATGTTAAACTGTTCAATTCATCATAATATAAATGTCAATGAGATGTAATAAGTGAGTTTGATCAATGACAAAATACAAATAATAACTATAGTTTCTATCATAAACTGGCCTTAAATAGAAAACCAGTAGGAATAGGAAAGAACTAGATAACCATTTCAAACTAGTATGAAATTGCTCAGTGGTTTGTACCTCCACGACCACTACTGGGGATCAAACACAAAGTTTCTAGATCTTATACCTAACTTTTCAACAACTGAGTCGACGTTGAATGATTTACATGTTTAACTTCAGTCAGTTAGTGATGTTAAACGACTATCTTTCAATGAGATTTATGAGTAACTGTCTCACACCTAATATGTCTAGACTCTACTGGTTATGGTTTCTCACTGGAATCCCAAGTATTACCTCACAAGATAAGTCACTAGTCCGTATATAATGATACTGAATTCATAAAATTAGCGTTAATTATGATACTTGAGTTCTAATATTTTGATACTGTTAGGTCGTGATAAGCATAATGAATGGTAAATTTGGGATCCATTTGTGGACCAGTAATATTCGTATATTTTTACCATATAATTGTTAATTAACTAAACTATTCATATTCATGTCTCTATTATCATAAGCTTTGTTTTAACCTGTGAACTATTAGTATACGATTCACCGTTCTTGAATTATTCCCTATTTATTAATCACTGCCTCCCACGTTCACAGCCACATTTGGCCAAATCTTGTGCAAATGTTGTTTACATATTTTATGGTACGATGTGTTCTGTCTGGTTGATATATAAAGAGTATATTTGAAATAAATGATTCATATTGTAGAGGCTGAAATTGGTGTTCTGAACTTAACTGGTTGGGCTAGGTACGAACCAGGGCTAATGAGGACTCTAGACTGCTCATACAAGTTTACGCGTCATTGATCCAATCGATAAGTCACTGCTCTCTAATTGGCGGTATCGTTATGTTATACATTAACAGGGCACACAAGCCACAAGTTATAACAGATACTGAATACTGCACAACAATATAAATAGCCTTATCATTATTCACTTTATAAGTCATTATAAATCCGATGGTAACTTTTATCTATACGCACTAAAATAGCGATTTATAATGACGTTTACATAAGTTATCACAAAACGTTTTCCATAAATTCCCGAAATGTATAAATAAAGTGTTTTGAGAAAAGTTAGATGTTGGCTAGCAGTAGAATCTAGAACGCGCGTTTCGTCTCATTCGGGACTCGTCAGCTGGATGTACTTGCATCTCAGAGTAGATATTCATTTAGGGATCAATTACAGTCTTAAACAGCAATCAGAAGTTACAAGCAAACGATACAATTTCGATTAAATAATAGATAGTTCAAATGATATTTACAAATATTCTTATCAAAAAACTATTTTAATAGTTGAGAACATAAGTCAACTGGAGCTAGACCACCATGAGAAACCTGTAAGCATTAGACGGCCGTTTCGTCCT